TCCTGTTTTTTTTTCTATAATATTATTATACTACAGGGATAAAAGGATAACCCGTCCAACGAGCCCCACTATATTTTATCAATCAACAGTCCCAAAAAGCCTGTCTAAGTCGGCCATGCAAATGTCTCATCGCCCGACGCTTTTTCATAAATCATAAATAATATAGTTATCTCGGCGCCTGGTGCCGTAGACTAGCCGTCTTATTCCATTCACCTACAGTTATTGCTAGCCCCTCCAATGAATGAACCGGTCATGTCGAATTTGTCCCTCCCGCTGTTTAATCAAGTTGACCAGTCGGTAACAAATTTTCAGCTGCTGGTGAGGGAGGGAGTGCATGTGATCCAGCATAATTATAAGCCTCGCCTAGTCGCTTTGTTTACCCAGTGTGTAACAATGGTCGTCAATATGAATTTACCACAGAAGAGACGCCCGCTCGCTGAGTGGTGGTGGTTTGTTTTACCATGACGCTCAACTGAAACACCACTGTACCTTTTCCGCAGTGATTTTCACTGACTTTCGTTCTTGCAAGCAGAAAAAATGACCGACCATCATCTAAACTAGGATTTGACACTTATTATAATACTTTTTGGCTCCCGCCATCTGGTAACATCCTGTGGTGTCAATCTGGTGATGCAGTGGATTCCCGGACACTCAAACACACATGGAAATAACAGAACAGTCTGAGAACAGGCACACTTGCCAAAAAAAGAATCTAGACAGGAACAGCCCAACATTGTAACTTTATACAACACTGCAAGACAAATCATGAAGAGCAATAGCACACAAGATTGGACGAGCAGATGGGCCTTGGGAAAGACAGTAGACAGGCAGGGCAGTTTTCAAACATAATCTACAACAAAACGAAACGACAATATCAACCACCTACAGAGGAGGGACGGACCACAATCTTTCCGCCTGCGAACAAAACATATATATAGATCTATATATACAGCTCAACTTTGACCGGAACAGAACAAAACCAGAACTTCCCCCAAAGTGTTCCTTAAGTGACTATGCACAATATTAGTAGTAGTAGTAGTAGTAGTAGTAGTAGTAGTAGTAGTAGTAGTAGTAGTA